GTGCATGTATATGCACATGCTTATTTGCTTACGTTGGGGTGTACTGTATACACACACATACGCGTTCACAATATAAACTAGGGGACATAGAGTAAAAACAAATTATGTTTGATATTATGTAATCAAATCATTTTTGAAGAAAATGTTGCTCCTAATATTGTATACTTTGGACGTGTAGTTAGTATCTCTAGTTATACATATTATTTGCAAATCTTAAATGACAAAAATCTCCAATTTTCACATATATTTTGATTAGTCTACGTTGGTTCCAAATCGTCCGGATCCGGATATGTAAAAAAGAATTGTAATTTTTGTAGTTTGTTATGAGATGATATAAGAACCAAAATCATTGGCAGTCTAGTTGTATAGTTTTGTGGTAAATTATTTGAATTCCTTTTAAATTATCGATTTCGTAGACATTCACTTGGCCATTTGAACATTGGTATGAGCATTCTACCCAAGGTGTAACCGTACGTGTAACTATATATTACAAAAACTTGTTCATTTTTGGGATTAATCAACGTTTTGACGAAATCCATATATTTGATGCTAAATCTTAGTTTTTTTTAAATAAATTGATATCATGTATTGATGTCTTTTACTTCTATAGAGTTTTTTGTCTTTTATTTTTCCTTACTTATATAATGGTTTTCTGATATCGTAATTAGAAAATAAAAACTTGAAATTATAATGTCAACATACAAAAGTAGAATGGATGGCTAAAATAAACATTTTTATGTAACGATGACTGAATCCATCGCCTCGCGCTCATGGGCCGGTATGAGACGATTGAGGCGAATTGCATGGAGAAGCAAAGGCGTCCACTCTTATATATTGGTTTTATTCTAACTTTTTATTGCTTATTAAAATCCAACTTGTCGTGAAAACCACACGAACACCACTAATTTATATTTCTAGAGTAAGCAAATTGAAGCTATACATCCTCTATGAGACACTTGCTTTAACTTGAATTCGAAAATTCGACCCTCATACGCCCAATCAACCACAGCTATATACTTTAATATAATCAAAGGCCATTTTTACATTGTTATTTGTAACAATTAAATATTTAAAAAATTCTGTCAAAAACTTAGAAAATAAAAATTTTATGTGAGAAAGATGAGCGAGTTTCATAAGATTATCATACCCGTGATCAAATCAGTCAAGTGGAAATGATATGTGTAACAAGTGATTTAATGACTAACTAGGCTAACAGAAATTTGTTTAAAGGTAATTATATAATACGATACAAAAGCATATCTTATTGAAAATATGAAGATTCCTACATAAAGATCTTAAATCAAAACTGGGACTGGGTAAGGATGATGTTACTAGGTTAAAACTCAAAACATTTTGGAATAATATTTCGAAATGCAATGATCAAATGTACGCCATCTTTGGCACATAAATTCGTCCCATAGCAATTACTTTCCCTAATATAAATGCAAACCGGGGATTATCGAAGAAAAATGTTGACTAAACCGAACTACATAACCGGTCAAAGACCTTCACAATTAGATTCAGTGTTTGGAGAGAGGTCAACGCTTTGGTCCAATTTGTTAAACGATGTACAAACTTTATGTCACAAAAGTCAACACCATTCCCTTGTCGCCCATTGGTTATTTCCTGACCTATACGGTAATCTAGTAATCTACTATTTCTCCACATATCTTTCTGTTGCATTAACCATTGAGCCATACGCAAACTCCTTTTACATTACTAATATAATTAATTAATATATCTTTTGGTTTTATACACATCAATTTAGAATTATTATTTCTAGACTAGAGAGTATATGCTTTTTTTTTTTTCGCTAAATAATAAATATTTCATTAATAAAAATGAAAAAGTTTCAGGTTTACAAACTAAATTATAAACCTAATGATATGTTTCCATGGCAAAAAAAGATAAAAACATGGAAAACATAATTCACAAACGATTTTCAGTCCGTCCACTCGACATAAATCCGAATTTATGGAATACGACGAAGTGATGCCGATGTTATTTGTTCTTCGAAAATCAGATGGGGTAATGACGATTCGAAATGAAACCCAGAAGCCGAACAAAACCTAAACCCTTAGCAGAAGAAGCCCTTCTAAAGAGGCCCAAGTTGGATCGTCAACGGCCAACTCCGCAAGTCTTCGATCACTGACTCTTCTTGCATCAAGTGAGATACGCCTCGAAAAAGTTCCATGAGCTAATATCAAAAAGAAACCTCGCACCATTAACGATGAGTGGTGCCAGCTTACCTTACCAAAAACGTTGGCTAGTACAGAGCCAAATAAACACTAGAAACTACACCGTCCATCAATAGTCTTACTATGTCCTCTAATTCACAGAGTAAAGGAAGACAAACAATTGGGTTAGACAAGAAAACGCCATTAACACGACCATCATCAGGAAGAAGACACGAACAACAACTGGTTTAGACGCCAACTCTCAAAACTTGAAAACGATGAAGTCAAACAAAAGCTACGGATCGATAACCTCACCGAAGGTTGAACCATAACTAGCTATGCTAACACCACCGTAAGCACCATATGAAGGACCAGGTCATGACTAGGACCGGGAGCCACACTTGTATACCCACTAGACCGCACACTAGAAGAACTAAACCGTTGTCCACAATTTGGATTCGAGGATAGCGAGCCAAATCAACAAGTTCCAAGCCTAGATCAGAAAACGGTACAAACACACAAGAGCTCTAACCTGAGCTAATCCAAAGAGGATGGAAAATAGACCGGGGCTCCAGCACCGAACAAGAGCAATCTTGTTCGAGACTAGAAATCACAGAACCACTGACCTCGGAGGATAACATCGGACTTTTGGCGAGGACAGAGACTACACCACAGAAGAGCCAATACCTTCCCTGAATGGTAGAGACCAAAGGATGTGAAGCCTGACCACCATAGAGGATCAATGTACGGCGGAGCTTTCCAAGCAAGGCTTAGAAAGGTGCGAGACCACAAGGATAGAACTAGTAAGATCGAGGCTAATAGACGCCGCTCCTTGCCGATCGAGACTAGATCCATCGCCGGAAACGCTAGGGTAGAGGTGGATCTAGTAGATCTAAGCCGGACGAACACCGTGTGGCTAGTGAAGGGTTGTAGCTATTCCCAGCGGACGAGCATTGTGCCGTCGACAAGCAGAGCAGCCGCGACCAAGAAACCCAAACACCCAGGCGTGGCCGACACGAACAGAGACTCTCTGACCCACTCGCCATGAGACGCAACTCAAATTAGGAGAAGAAAGAAAGCTCTGAAACCGCAGAACCAGAAGGAGGAGGAGAAAGAGGTTGCCCTCTCACGGCGTCGGTCGTAATCGACCACCGGAGAGGCGAGCAAATCGGAGAAGTTTTGTAAGTTTTGTGCGATTTTTTGGAGAAGAATCGCCACGCGCTCTGACTCTCGGGCTCGATTCGCTGGCTGTAATTAGTACTATATGCTATTGGAAGTCGTGAAATGAATGTGTGATCTAGGTTTTGTTCAGACAAGAGATTTTACTAGTCGCCTTGTTATTTTACATCAGAATAACATCTCCAAACAACGCAAACTTTTGTCAACTAAATTTGTTACACATATGAATATATTTGTTTTTTTATAACATGTCAATATATTATTACGAAATGGAACATTGAGGTTTATTACAAGAGTTTTAGCAAACAACTATTTTCGGCAGAAAAAAAAGGATAAAAACTATTGGAGCAAAGTGAATAGAGTTTGAGTCTTACTATGATCTTGAAATCCAAAAAGGTAGGAGTTTACAACCTTTGAGGTTTCTACGAGGAAGTAACGTATCTTTGATATTGCGATCAATCCTGGAGAAGATGATTTCACCGGTAGTGAGATGTTATTATGCAATCTTGCATTTTTTTTCTTTCCATAGGTTGAAGAGGAGAGATTGGACCACATACTTCTTGAGTTTTGAAAGAGTAGAAGGAGATTGTGTTGATAACCATGTAATGAGAGAGTCCCAATCATGGAATATGAAAGGCATAGTGTGTAGCCGGTGCAGAGCTTTGTCCCAAATATCCATGAATATATTTGTTTTGATTTAAAAAGTTTTTTTTTTGCGGGGAAGGGGAGTTTGTGTAGTAATTAAATTCAGGAGGATAAAAGTTAGATTTAAGTTTAGATAAAACTTTAGAATGAATTTTCTCAAATAAAAAAAATGGTTTAGATAAAACGAATACGATTCAGGAAGTTTGATAGGTTGAAAATATATTTTGTAAGTAAAAGAATTAAGGAGAAAATAAATTTGAATATATAGAACCCGATTGTTTGTTTAAGGATGCCATGCATGTATTTTTCTAGAATAC